TGGGAAAAATGGGTTCAAGCATGTGATCCCTGTAAACTCCCGGGGCAAGTAACAGTGTGGGCAATAAAAAAACACCCCTGAAAGCAGAAAAAAAGGAAGACTTCCAAAAATTTTGCATTGTGTGCTGTCTGTGCCCAAAAAGCATGGACAACGAAAGAGGAGACGAGAATGTCGGGGCCCAGAACCCAAAATTTGTGGCAAAATAAAAACAACTAAAGGTTAAAAGTCCACCCAGAGAATAATTTCCCTTTTGTCCACAGGCGCAATTTTATCAAAAAAGTTGAAACCCTGGCCTGTAGCTAATCTCCCTGGTCGTGACGGATGGGGAAAAATTTGATGAAAGTTTGGGCAAGCAAATAGTCCGGAGGTGGATAAGCACCCCAAACTTTTCCAAAGACATTCAAGGTCCTGCAGCTGGGGGACACTGCACCCGGAACTACCCGCTTTTAAAATGAAATGAAACGCTATGGCAGGAACCCAGGAGGACCCCCTGTGAAAAGGACAAAAAAAAACCAAGCTACGTTTGCCAAAATGTACTTGAGTAACCAAAACCCTTTTGGGGAAAACTCTTGTGGACAAATGAGACCAAGTGGGGTTTCGGTAAAGCACTCATTCTACTGTTTACCAAAAAAGGGAATGGGGCCTAAAAAACAAAAAACAGTCCCTACGGTAAAATATGGGGGAGGTTCAATGATGTTTTGGGGTTTTTTTTGCTCCCTCTGGCACTGGGTGCCTTGACTTGGAAAAGGCACGAAATTGGGATCCCAAAAGGATTTTGGGTCGCACTGAGGGCCCGTGTCAAAAGGGGGTTTTCGTCCAAGATCCTGGGTCTTCCACAGGACAAGCCCCCAAACAACGTCAAAAACCCCCAGAAATGGAGGGCAAAAAAGGCGGAGATTTTTTAAAGGGGCCCCAAAATGACCCCAGATCTAAATCCCATTGAAAAATTGGAGAGATTTTAAAATTGTTTTGGGAAAAGGTTTTTCCTTCAATAAAAGACCTGGAGCTGTTTGCAAAGGAAGAGTGGTCCAACATTCCGGGTGAGAGGTGTCAGAAAAGCTTATGGCTGGTTTAAAGGAAGCGACTGATTCAGTATGTATTCCAAAGGTGTGCAACCAAATATTAAGTTAAGGGTGCCAATACTTTTGTCCAGCCCATTTTTTGGGTTTTGTGTGACATTAAATGTCATATTTGCTTTCTGCCTCTGTTTTATATTGTTTTCCAATACTTACAAAGGGAATAAAAACATGTGTTTAGCAAAACATGTGTTAATGCAATACCTTTTGTGTGTGAAAGTACTTGATTTACCAGGAAAAATATCAAGGGTGCCAACAATTTCGGCCATACTGTATAATTATATAATATATTTTTTTTTTTTTAGATAATAGATAGATAAAAAACAGTTCAAAGATATAGTTAGCATTCTCACTTTAAAAGCAGCAGAGGATTGCCCGAAAAATCCTCCAAAAAAACATTGTCCAAACACGAAAACACCACATTCAGACTGGGTAACAAAAAATACCATTCTTTATAACAAATCAGTCAGGGAATAAAATACACTAAAAACAAATAGTTCTTCTATTTTGAAAGGTAATTTCCTTTACTCAATGAATAAGTTCGACAATTCAGACGTTAAAACGAAGAATAAACACATCGCATGCAATTAAAACTAAAAAATAAGGTATATTGCTTACACATTACAATAGAAATTCAAGAGACAGAGCATTAAGAGAATGAGACCCAAAACAATAACCTAAGTCAAAGAGAAATAATCTCTTGCAAAATGAAAATTCCTTTGCAAAGTGAGCAGCCTAAATTGCCTTGTAGTAAATCAAGCCCAAAAAGTATTAAAAGCAAGTGGATCCTCCCTTATAAGTTCCGAGGTTTCGCAAATCAGAAAACATAAGGGAGCTGCAAAGCAAGCTACCCTGTTGTAGCTGTCTGTTACAAGCCTAACTATAAAGCACTGAGAAACTAAATTTTGTCCTGGTTGTAAATCAGCTATAAATAAGTATTAAAGTTGAAAAAAAAGGTCAAGTTCAACTAATAGATACGAACATAAATGAAAATGAATAAAAATCAACAAAAACCTACAGCTGCAGAAACCTAAACCTACATTAATATCCAGGAGAAAGAAAAAAAACCTTATAACAAAAGTGACCTTTTCAACACAGAAGGAACCCACAGAAATTAACGTTCTGGTCTGAGGGAACCCTGCTAATATTACTAGATACCTACAATGATTGGTACAGATAGCTAAAAAGATCAATTTTTGTCAGCAGGAACTTATCTGAGAAGGCAGGAATTGCTAAAATGCCTAAGGAACCCTTAGCAACCTCTGGTAGGAACCCTAGTTGGGTAAACCCTGCCCTAACAACTGAATACTAGCCAGATCAACAATTTACAATATTCTCTAGAAAAAATAATAGCCGAGCTATATTAGTCCATTAGAAACACACTCCAGAATCTTTTTTTTAATTTCTACAGATTTGGCTAAGAACTACGCAAGTAATTCCATATTTAATTTTATTTTATTCTATTTTTATTTCATTGCTACCTAAATCCCACTGAACCACTGCTCAATTCAAAAAAGCTTTTTTATTTTTTCTTTAGAAATAATTTTTATGAAGGTTCTTGACTTTTTCTGAAGTGTTAAATTTAGTCTGAAAAGATAATTAGGCTTGTTATCTACATTCTTCAATATTTTTTAGTATAGTACATCACATATTCCCTTTTTAGATTCTGACAGTATAGAAAAGTAATTGCCTAAATGTCAATGAATGTCATAAAAATAATTTTGTAATGTTTTAGAAGAAGAAAGTAAGGCATGGATCGAGTGAGATGGAAGAAGGGGGAAAGAAAGAAAGGAAAGAAAAACCGAGAAAGAAAGAAAGATTAGTATACAGAAAGAAAGAAAGAAAGACAGCGAAAGAAAGCAAACAGGAAAGGAAAGAAAAAGAAAGAAAGAAGAAAGAAATGTGACAAGAAAGAAAAGAAAAGAAAGGAGACAAGAAAGGAAAGAAAAGAAAGAAAAGAGAAGAAAAAAGAAAGAAAGAAAGAAAGAAAGAAAGAAAAGAAAGAAAGAAAAGAAAAAAAGAGAAAAGGGAAAAGAAAAGAAAAATGAAAAAGAAAATCCCAACAGTTCCCACCCCCCAATGTGTAGATTAGCATAGCACAATCCCCCATGCTAAGAGAATGTTATTTGTGTGTTTGATTTTGGAAATAAGAGCACACGTCTGTGTTGGCTCCTAGTCATGACCACAATTGTCACTGACAGCATTGGCCTAAGATAAATGATCAGAATCATCTGATTGGTTCCAAATCACATGATCATTATACCAACCTGTCACAGTGAACCCCTGCTAATAATTACTATACCTACAATGATTGGTACAGATAGCTAAAGAGATCAATGGTGTCAGCAGGAACTTATTTTATTTTACTTTATTCTATTTTGTCATTACTACCTAAATCCACTGACCACTGACTGCTCAATTCTAGATTTTTATTTTTTTTCTGGAATTAATTTTTTTTAGGTTTTAGCCAACGCAAAATGTCAAAAAGTTTGTATTTGTGGTGCACTTGACTTTTTCTGAAGTGTTAAGATTTAGTCTGGGAAATAATTAGGCTTGTTATCTACCATTGTTCATTTTTTATAGTACATTAAGTTTTCCCTTTTAGATTCTGACAGTAGAAAATTATTTGCCTAAATGTCAATGTATGTCATAAAAATTATTTTGTAATGTTTTAAAGCAGTAAGGCAGGGATCGAGTGAGGGAAGGAGGGGAGGGGGGAAAGAAAGAAAGAGAGAGAGGAGAGAAAAGGGGAAATAGAGTGAAAAGAAAGATGGAGAAAGAGTGAAAGAGAGAGAGAACAAGAGAGAGAGAAAATAGAGGAGAGAAAAAGAAAGAAAAGAAAGAAAGAAAGAAAGAAAGAAACGAAAGAAAGAAAGAAAGAAAGAAAAAAGAAAGAAAGAAAAAGAAAGAAGGAGGAGGAAGAGAAAGAGAGAGAGAGAGGAAGAGAGAACAAGACGGAAAGAAATAGAGAAAAAAAAGAGAGACAGAAAGAGAGAAAAACAGAGAGAAGAAAGAAAGAAAGAAAGAAAGAAAAGAAAGAAAGAAAAGAAAGGATACATAAAAGAAAGAAGAAAGAAAGAAAGAAAGAAAGAAATCATCTGTGTGGCCTCCTAATCAAGACCACATTGTCACTGACAGCATTATCCTAACACAAATGATCAGAATCATCTGATTGGTTCCAAATCATTATGATCATTTATACCAACCTGTCACAGTGATCACATGGTTTTGTTTACAAAACAACCCTACAGATGTCTTGCACAGAGGAAGGAACATTGACACCTGGCTGTTAAAGTGAAACAAAGCCAGAAAAAATAATAATTATTTAACAGCATTAATTCAAATAAACAAAAATTAACATTGAAATATTTTGAAAAACTGTTAATCAATAAATGCATTTTTTTTACAAAAACTTTTTTTTTAATGTGAAGTATTATAATCACAGTGTTACTAAACCCAGACCCTGCATTCACTATATCCGGTCTCCCCAGACCCTGCATTCACTATATCTGGTCTCCCAGACCCTGCATTCACTATATCTGGTCTCCCCCAGACCCTGCATTCACTATATCCGGTCTCCCCGGACCCTGCATTCACTATATCCGGTCTCCCCAGACCCTGCATTCACTATATCCGGTCTCCCCGGAGACCCTGCATTCACTATATCTGGTCTCCTCAGACCCTGCATTCACTATATCCGGTCTCCCCGGACCCTGCATTCACTATATTTGGTCTCCTCAGACCCTGCATTCACTATATCTGGTCTCCCAGACCCTGCATTCACTATATCTGGTCTCCTCAGACCCTGCATTCACTATATCTGGTCTCCCCAGACCCTGCATTCACTATATCTGGTCTCCCTGGACCCTGCATTCACTATATCTGGTCTCCCAGTACCCTGCATTCACTATACCTGGTCTCCCACAGTACACAGAACATAGAAATGCAATTATTTTAGTAAAGATAAATTGCTAAACACCTTTTCTCATCAGCACTTAGAGCAGTCTTATGACTTCTATCAGTGTCCAGAAGAGCACTTAATCTTGTAGGAGAAGTTTTCATTCTCCTCCGAATGTCCTATGAGGCTGCATGACCCCTGACCCTCTGTCTGAACAGTGCTGATTGGCCCTGTGCTCAGTGGTGTAATTTTGGTTTTGTGCTGCCTTAGGCAAACAAAAAAAACAGAGCACCCCCCTTGGGGGAGAGAGCCTAACACTGACTAACCCCCCCCCCCCCCATGGAGAGAGCCTGACATTGACCAATAACTCCCCACCCGAGAGAGCTTTCCACTAACATACAACCCCCCCTTCCCAGAGAGAGAAAGACACTCACCTTCACAGCTCCAGATATCCCTGGGAACGAGAGTCGGGCTCTGCATACACCATCAAGCAGCCTGCAGCCTCTCTCAGATCCCACCTGGTCCCCGTGCTGCATGTCTGTCCCTTCTTCTGGGGGCGGTGCTGCCCCCCAGAAAAATGCCACCCTAGGCAAATGCCTTGTTTGCCTTGTCGTAAATATTCCCCTGCCTGTGCTGATCACATGCACCCACCCAAAAAAAAGAAAAAACTCTCTAGCAATACATACCAGACTGAGCATGTGCAGAGTGCTTGCTAATGCTCTGTACTATCAGCGGATGGATTGGAGACAGTAAAAGAAGGGGAGACTCAGAAAAGACAGGATCAAACAGCCTTTTTACACAATGTGGAGGATTAACCCCTTAGATTCCACAGTGACATATAACAAGCATGCTTTACTGCATATACAGACTGATTTTTTACTGTTGTGGGTTTAGTAAACACTTTAAAAACATAAGCGAGGGATATAAAAAATTGGACCAAATAAAAAACTCATAGGCACATTACTTATAGAGTTATTATCAAATCAACTGAAGCAACACTGAAGCTGCTAAATTTGGTCTGAGTATTTAGATTCCAATGACCTCTGGTTACCAAAGGGCTTAACCCTTGCTCGTTTTTGTCCCAAGTGCCTGAGACATGTAACTATTAAAAATAGCCATAGGCATGAGCTGAGAGCGGCCGGATAGGGTGATCATCTCATACCATGGAAGGTCCTCCACCCAGACGTCCAACTGATGCCAGAGATGACAGCTGACACCACAAATTGTAGCCTGCATGCAGTTTCGAATTAGTGTGTCAATTAACCAATCTATAGCCATGTAATCAAATAATTTATATAACTAATAAGTTAATCTGATCAATTAGGCTAATTATTGTTAATCAACTAAACACCAGAGTGAGTTTACATGATTCTGTTCGGTAAGAGTATTTGCACTTAATACAATGTCTCTTTCTTTCATAATGGCTGAGTAGACAGCACAAGGATTGTTAGGAAAACAAACTTTCTTCTAATCATGATTAAATCAACATGGGGGTTACATGATGGGCAACATAGTAAGAAATTTGGGACCTCAACACTTGTTGGAACTTATTGGAATTGACTCAATATCTACAGAACAGAAACCAGGTAAGAATTTAAATAGCTAAAATCAATTGCAATGTATAAACAGTAATTAAGGAGATTGTGTTCCTCCCAGCAAAACTCAAGTTTCACTGATAATCAGATTTTTTTTTCCTTTTTCTATGCAATTTATACACCCTTTCTAATTGTCCAACTGCACACTTGAAAATCTGAAACACATCAAGTGGCTTTCATGGTAGAACAAACTGTAATATTTTTCTGTTCAAGCAATTACAATATTTTCTACGCATGGCTGAGGGCTGGTGTTTTCCAATTGATCATGGTTACAAATCTTGTTTTTTTTTTTTTTTTTTTTTTTAAATTGAAATTCTAGTCACCAAACCACAAATAATTCAAAAATGCAAACTTTTTAATATTACATTTTATTTTAGCATGGTGCAAACGCTTAAGAAAATGACACGTGAAAATTAAAATATAATCAACATGTGAGGGATTGCTTTTAGATATTTTACAAAGGAAAGAAAAAAGCTCACAAGATGTTAAATATGTGTGAATAAATTATTTATGCTTAGCCTCGCAAATAAAAATAACATCATACATTTACTAAACTAGCAGCTGGTGCCCACACTTCACTTTAAAGCAGAAACCTATATAGTTTCAGACCCCCCCCCACACACACACACACGCACATACAACACATTTAATAAATTAATAAACAAAAAAAACACAAAAAAAAAAAATATATATACTGTAGTATTATCTACAGTGCATTTAAAAAGTATTACATCTCTAATCCTATCAGTAAGAAGGTCTTCCTCTCCCTTGACAATGGTTCCCATTGGTTGTCATGTTACAACCAAGAACGTCAATGTATCTTTTATTGGGTATTTTGATGTGATAGACAACACAAAGTGGCACCATAATTGTGAAGTGGATAGGAAAATGAGAAATGGCTTTCACCATTTGTTACAAATAAATCTGTCTGAGAAGTGTGGCTGCATTTGTATTCAGCCCCCACCCCCCGGAGTCAATACTTTGTAGGACCCCCTTTCGCTGCAATTCCAGCTGCAAGTCTCTTTGAGGATGTCTCTCCCAGCTTTGCACACTAGAGAGGGACATTTCTGCCATTCTTCTTTGCAGAATCGCTCAACGCTCTGTCAGGTTGCGTGGAGAGTGTCTGGAACAGCAATTTTCAAGTCTTGCACAGATTCTTTATTGGACTTAGGTCTGGAATGTGACTGGGCCATTTAACACATGAATATGTTTTGATGCTAAAACATTACATTGTAGCCTTATGGCTGGATGTTTCGGGGTCGTTATTCTGCTAGAAAGTGAACCTCCGCCCAGTCTCAAGTCTTTTGAAGACTAACAGGTTTTCTTCTAAGATTGCCCTGTTATTTGGCTCCATCCATCTTCCCATCAACTCTGACCAGCTCGCCTGTCCCTTCCCTGCTGTAGATAAAGCATCTCACACATGATGCTGCCATCCACCATGTTTCCTGGTGGGTGTGTGTGTGTGTTAGGGTGGATGTGGCAGTGTTTGTTTTCTGCCACACATAGCTTTTTGCTTTAAGGCCAAAAAAGTTAGATTTTGGTCTCATCTGACCAGAGCCCTTCTTCACATTTTTGCTGTTCTTATATGTTTGTTTGTGTCCCCCACATGCTTCTCGCAAACTGCAAATGGGCACTTTTATGGCTTTCTTTTCAACAATGGCTTTCTTCTTGCCACTCTTCCATAAAGGCCAGATTTGTGTAGTGCACAACCAATAGTTGTCCTGTGCGACAGATTCTACACCTCCTGAGCTGTGGCTCTCTTCTCAGCTCCTCCAGTTACCATGGGCTCTTTTAGTGTCTCGGGGAGGGGCTTGGGGGTGCTTCTCTGATGAATGCTTCTCCTTGCCCAGCCTGTCAGTTTAGGTGGTACGGCCATGTCTTGGTAGGTTTGCAGTTGTGCCATTACTCTTTCCATTTTTGGATGATTGATTGAACAGTGCTCCGTGAGATGTTCAACCGCTTGGGATATTTTTTTTAGGAACTTAACCCTGCTTTCAACGTATCCACAACTTTATCCTTTGACCTGTCTGGATTATGTTCCTTGCCTTCATTATTCTGTTTGTTCACTAATCTTCTCTAATAAACCTCTGAGGGCTTCACAGAACAGCTGTATTTATACTAAGATTAAATTACATAACAGGTGGACTCTATTTACTAATTAGGTGACTTCTGAAGGCAATTAGTTCCACTAGATTTTAGTTAGGGGTTATCAGAGTGTAAAGGGGGGCTGAATCTGAATACAAATGCACACCACACTTTTCAGATATTTATTTGTAAAAATTTGTGAAAGCCATTTATCATTTTTCTTCCACTTTCCAATTATGTGAAGGCGCCAAAGGATTAGGTCGTGGAGGGACGTTATTTTTGTTCATATTGAGAGGTTCTCAGCCCTAGCTGAGAGATTTTCAGGGAAATGCCAACAAGAGGGGGAAATTGGTTATCACTTTCCCCTGTTTTTCTTTAGTTTATTATGCGTCTCTGAAGTCTAGAGACTTTAGGAGTTAATGGGAGGTATGAGTCTCAAACCTCATCACCACGGGAGCCAAAGGGTTAATGGCCTCATCTGGGAGGAGAAGTGTGTTCAGGGCATAGTCCTCACCTAGCAGGGGGGCTGTGTGAGCTGTGTGTGGGAGGACACATGGCTGAAAAACAGTGTCTGCTCCTAAACTGCTGAGCCATTTTGCTGGAGTTGCTATGCGCTGCGTTTGACCCTTGGAGAAAGGCAAGGACACAGCCCTGGAGGAGTGACAGTTCCGTGGAGTGACCTATTCTGTGGATGGCGGTAAACCCCGAAGAATATTTTGTGTTAAGGACTGTTTTTGTCTGCTCCAGACTTGTGTTTGAGCACCTGTAGAGGGCTGAAGGACTATTACCCTGCTGTTGGGACCAGTGTTTGTTTCTTTTTGCTGCCACAAAGCTGTTTTTTTTGTTTACGTTATTTGGAAGAATAAAGGCATGGACCTAGAATTTTCTATGGCACCAGCTGTGAGCATAACCCCCCAGAATATTACTATACATATATATATATATATATATATATATATATATTTTATTATATAACTATACTGTATATATACAGTTAGGTCCATATATATTTGGACACAGGCACAATTTTAGTTTTTTTCTGGTATTTAACAAAACATATTCAAGCTATAGTTATATAATGGATATGGGCTGAAAGTGCCCACACTCTCAGGTCTAATTTGAGGGTATGTACATCCAAATTGGAGGATAGGGTTTAGGAATTTACAGCTTTTCAGAGTAGCCATCCCCCCTTTTCAAGGGACCAAAAGTAATTGGACAACTTGAATATAACTCATAAATAAAAGGTCCATATTGTAATATTTTTGTGTTGAGAATCCTTTACTTGAACAATGTCTGAAGTCTGGAACCCATGCACATTACCAAGACTGGGTTTCCTCATTTCGGGATTGCTTTGCCCAGCTTGTCCTCAGTTGTTCTTTGTTTGGTGGGTCTTTTTTGCCTTTAGTTTGCTTTCAGCAAGAGAAAATGCGAATGCTCATTGGATTTGAGGTCAGATGATGGACTCGGGACCATTGCATCAATATTCCACTGCTTTTCCTTCAAAAGCTCCGCCTGGGTTGTGTTTTGGATCATTGTCCATCCGTACTGTGAAGCTCCTGTCCCAATCAACTTTGCTGCATTTGGCTGTAATCTGGGTCTGACAAGTATATCTCTAAGCATTGCAGATTCATCCGGCTGCTTCTGTCTTCTGTCACATCACCAATAACCCAGTGCCACTGGAAGCCATGCTGCCCATTGCCATCACACATGCCGCCACCACGTTTTTGACAGATGACATTGTGCGGTTTTTTACATCATGAGCCGTTCCAAGCCTTCTCCACACTTTTTTCTTCCCCGTCATTCTGGTACAGATTAATCTTAGTTTTCATCCCGCCCAAAGTAATGCTTCTCCAGAAACTGGGTCTGGCTTTTTTAGATGTATTTTTAGTTAATAGTCTATAATCTGGCTTTTCTTTTCTTTAGGCTTATGAATGGTTTGCACCTTGTGGTGAACCCTCTGTATTTGCTCTCGTGAAGTCTTTCTCTTGATTGTAGACTTTGACATGATACGCCCACAACTCCTGGAGAGTGTCCTTCACTTGTCTGGATGTTGTGAATGGGTTTTTCTTTACCATAGAGAGGATCCTGCGATCATCCACCACTGTTTGTCTTCCATGGACGTCCATTGCCTTTTTATGTTTGCTGTGCTCACCAGTGCGTTCTTCTTTCCCTCAGAATGTACCAAACTGTTGATTTGGCCACTCCTAATGTTGCTGCTATCTCTCTGATGAATGAGTTTAATTTTTGAAAGCCTTACAATGGCCTGTTTCACTTGCATGGACAGCTCCTTTGAACGCATGACGTAGGTTCACAGCAATAGATTCCAAATGCAAATTCCACACTTAGAATCAACTCCAGACCTTTTACCTGCTTAATTGATGAAGAAATAACGAAGGAGTAGCCCACACCTGGCCATGAAACAGCTTTTGATTCAATTGTTGCAATTACTTTTGGTCCCTTGGAAAAACGGGGAGATGGCTACTCTTAAGAGCTGTAATTCCTAACCCTTCCTCCAATTTGGATGTACATACCCTCAAAATACCCTGAGAGCAGGGGTGAACTGACAACTCATGGAGCCCCCCCCGGGCAATAGGGGATCATGGGGCCCCTGTGTCCTTGCCCAAACCCAAAAAAGCCTATGAAAAAGGTACCAGGGGCATCTCATGGGCCCCCCTACTGACCCCGGGCCCTCGGGCAGTGCCCGAGTGCTCGAATGGTCAGTCCGCCCAAGCCTGAAAGTGTGCACTTTCAGCCCATATCCATTATTTATCTAATATAGCTTGAATTTGTTTAGGTAAATACCTGAAAAAAAACTTTTAACTTGTGCCTGTGTCCAAATATACAGTTGTGGCCAAAATTATTCAACCCCCACTGAAATTGAGTGTTTTGGTGGCCAGTTTGACATTGCATTTTGATCATTCAGTCATCTTGCTTACATTTACATTAAAGAGGCACTTGTAGGTCAGACAAATATAACATAACAGTTATAATGAAATAACCACAAATGTCCTTTTCTGTGCTCACAGCATTATCAGTTTTATTCAACCCCCAAGTGACATTCAAATCTTAGTACTTAGTACAGCATCCTTTTACAGTTATAACAGCTTTTAAACGTGAAGCATAGCTTGACACAAGTGTCTTGCAGCGATCTACGGGTATCTTCGCCCATTCTTCATGGGCAGCAAAGGCCTCCAGTTTCATGTCACATTCTTAGGCTTGCGCACTGCAACTGCTTTCTTTAAGTCCCCACCAGAGGTTCTCAATCGGATTTAAGTCTGGTGACTGCGATGGCCACTCCAAAATGTTCCAGCCTTTCCTCTGCACAAAACCATGCTCTAGTGGACTTGGAGGTATGCTTGGATCATTGTCCTGTTGAAAGGTCCAACGTCTCCCAAGCCTCAGGTGTGTGACGGACTGCATCACGTTTCCATCCAATATCTCCTGGTACTGAAGAGAATTCAGGGTACCTTGCACACGCTGAAGCTTCCCTGTACCCTGCAGAAGCAAAACAGCCCCAAAGCATGATTGACCCTCCACCATGCTTCACAGTAGGCAAGGTGTTCTTTTCATCATAGGCCTTGTTCTTCCTCCTCCAAACATAGCGTTGATCCATGGGCCCAATACAGTTCTAATTTTGTTTCAT